TAGGTATTTATTAAGTATATAAATATATACAAATCCGTTTTTATAAAAAAAAATGTATACAAAAATATATTTTACAAAAAAAATGTATACAAACACCTATTTTATATATATATTTCTTATAAAATCGTGTTTGTTTATATTTTTTTATAAAAACGTGTTTGAATAATTTTTTATATAATACGTGTTTGCATGCATTTTATAAAATGTATACAAACACGATTTTATAAAATATATACAAACACGTATTATATAAAAAATTATTCAAACACGTTTTTATAAAATGTATATAAACACGATTTTATAAAATGTATACAAACATGTATTATATAAAAAATTATCCAAACATGTTTTTATAAAAAAAATATAAACAAATACGATTTTATAAAAAAAATATAGATACACACCTACTTGTGTGCATATATATATATATATATATATATATATATATATATATATATATAATAAAGGTGATAGGTGTTTGTATACATTTTTTTTGTAAAATACGTTTTTGTATACATTTTTTATAAAAACGGATTTGTATATATTTATATACTTAATAAATACATATTTTTATAACTAGATATTTCATATACAAAAAAGTTTTTATATAGAAAATATAAGATTTTTATGTAAAAATACGTTTTTTATTTTTTGTATAAATATGATTTTATAAAGAAAAAACATATTATAAACAATTTTTTGAGAAAAAAAGTTGTAAAAAAAACTAAAGTTAGGATGAATTCATAATAAAATTCTAACATTTGGGCAAAAAGGGTAAAGTTTGGACCAAATTTATAACAAAATTTAAAATATGAGCCAAAAGTGTAAATTTTGGACCAAATTTGTAATAAATTTTGAAATCTGGGCCAAAAATGTAATTTTTGAAAGTTGGATGACCTGTTGACCTGGTCAAAGGGTTAAATTGAATATGATTACCGGTATTTGGGACTTAATTGAATAAAAAAAATATATAGGGACTAAATCGATTATAAAACCAATATGTAGGGACTTTATTGAAGTTTTCCCTATTCCAATATTTAAATTTTAGTCTAAAGAGACAAAATAAGCGGGCTTACCTAAATCCGCCCCATTGCGATCTGGGCCATATGGCTGCAATCATTCTGGCCTTCAGCCAACTCCTCCGTTATTTTGTTAGACCACTAAAAATCTAAAATGACATTAACCTACAAAAAAATCGGTTAATCCAAACCCGATTATTTCAAGTCCCTTACCCGAGAACATAGCATAATAGGTCTTATATCACAGATGACAGATGTAAATACATATATATAGACAAGAAGGATATTAATATTATTGATTGATTCAAGATGAAAAAGACAGTGTACAAATCAACATTTTATAGGTCTTATATCACATATACGCACGAATAGCTCCCTGTGTAATTTTGCACTTTATTCGAAGACCATCAATAAATATATCCCTCAGTATTCAAAGTTGAGTTTGAGTTTGTGCAGCCTCTTGCTTCATTTCAGTTTTAATGGCAGCAGCCAAGTGATCATAAGCTTCAGACCAGGCACTCTTCATTTCCTCACTGCATTTTTCTCCCATTGCCTTCTCCACTGTTCTTATCAAAGCCTCCTTCACCACCTTCATTCATTCATTAAAAAATAAAAAACTTGGTTTAATTTAATTTATTTAATCAAAACTCGCACTTCTTAAAACATTTAATAAATTACCTCAAAGTGAGGATCAACTATTCCTTTCTGAAGATGAACGGATCCCAAATACTTGAGTGAAGAACCAGAAACCACAACTTCACCTTTCTCCCTCAGTTGAATTGCTGACTCACATACCTTTCATCACACATGTACATATAATAAGCAATCGTGATACATGTATGTATAGAAAACAAGGGTAATTAAGAATGGGGAAAATATACATATAGATCGATGTAGTATAAGTATAACTCACCATCTTGAAAACTTTAACAGCATGGGATTTGAGCTTGGGGTTATTTTGGGGAATTTCATTCGTGTCTTTAAGAAATGAAAACAACCCTTTTGCTTCCGGGGCTATCTCCAATATCCTGTATGTTACGATTTTATCATTTTATTTCATACATACTTTATTAAAATATTACAAAATAGGAAAATTTTGTTGATGCAGATTTCATGAAAGCAATCAAACATACATCGCGTAAAGATAGAGACTAAGAGCAGGAATGTCTTCCTTCATCACCTCCCATGATTCCTTCACCAATGCTTCTTGCTTCTCACTAAAACCCATCTCTCTCTTTTCTCTTGTTGTATCACACCCTCTAACACACACTGTATATCTATCTATGATCTATCTTATGTATGTATATATACACATATACAAGATTTACAGTGTTGATTATATGGCAATCATATCCTTAGGGATAACGATGTAAATTGATCTCAATGTGTAAAACATCAGGCGGCATAAGTGGTTTTACCCTTGGACTTCATTAAGGGGCGCTGTGGCTTAACAAGTTGGCTGCATATATATGACCATATGTCAGTATAATATTTAATAAATGCAAATGGTGCTCTTCCAATAAAAAATGGTTACCCATGATACCATATTGATATTGCTTTAATTCCATAATTTGTGTGATTGAATGGTTGATATTGTTTCATCTTAATGTAATTAAGTAACTCGGTTAGTGCGTTGCTAGGAAAATATTACGACACCCAAGTGATAAAAATATTTATCTTTTTTAACTATCTACTCTAATAAATAAATAAAAATTTGGCACATGTGACACTCTCGTTTATTTTGTCATATATCATTTTATGGTTATTTTAAATTAAAATTTTTTCCATATGTCATTTTATTAAATTCCATATAGTATTTAAATATAATAATCGTAATAAATCTAATCTAATCTAACTATCTAATAAATGAAACCTTTTGTACACGTGGCATCTCTCTACATCCATCTTCGATTATTGTGAATTGACCATAATGCCCTTCGTCTTATTTTTCAGAATATAACTCCATATTTGTTTCCTATTTACTCCACGAAAATATTTAATGCACAATGAATATATTTGGTATACAATCCTCTATATACGGAATGTGTATGCAATCATTTGCATCAAATCCTATGCCTCATATGTGATTTCGGCAAATAATCTAACTATCTAATAAATGAAACCTTTTGTACACGTGGCATCTCTCTACATCCATCTTCGATTATTGTGAATTGACCATAATGCCCTTCGTCTTATTTTTCAGAATATAACTCCATATTTGTTTCCTATTTACTCCACGAAAATATTTAATGCACAATGAATATATTTGGTATACAATCCTCTATATACGGAATGTGTATGCAATCATTTGCATCAAATCCTATGCCTCATATGTGATTTCGGCAAATAATCTAACTATCTAATAAATGAAACCTTTTGTACACGTGGCATCTCTCTACATCCATCTTCGATTATTGTGAATTGACCATAATGCCCTTCGTCTTATTTTTCAGAATATAACTCCATATTTGTTTCCTATTTACTCCACGAAAATATTTAATGCACAATGAATATATTTGGTATACAATCCTCTATATACGGAATGTGTATGCAATCATTTGCATCAAATCCTATGCCTCATATGTGATTTCGGCAAATAATCTAACTATCTAATAAATGAAACCTTTTGTACACGTGGCATCTCTCTACATCCATCTTCGATTATTGTGAATTGACCATAATGCCCTTCGTCTTATTTTTCAGAATATAACTCCATATTTGTTTCCTATTTACTCCACGAAAATATTTAATGCACAATGAATATATTTGGTATACAATCCTCTATATACGGAATGTGTATGCAATCATTTGCATCAAATCCTATGCCTCATATGTGATTTCGGCAAATAATAATAATAATAATAATAATAATAATAATAATAATAATAATAACAAAAAAAAAAACAAACATCAACATCAACACCCTTATACATTGAAAATACGATTAATAAGTATATTTTTACTTTAGAAACAATTCATACGTATCACCAAATAAAGAAAAATTATAATTCATAAACAGTAATGGTGAGATTTTCCCATTTTACTTTCAAGCTTTATACCCTATTCCGAAGTTCAAGTTAACAAGAGAGCATAATTTAATCTCATATAAAACACATTATCGAGGTTCTTAGTTATTAGTTGAATCTTCTTGAACATATCATTTGAATCACCAATATTTGTACCCGACAGAATGTATGATTGGTATTTCAACGGATAACCAGTCATATACACAAATGATGTAAATTAACTTAATTTCTTTATGTCGTCCAAACATAAAGTCTTCCTAATGTTATTTTAAATAGCTTCACCAACTATTAATGGAGAAAATACCTAAAACAACAATTTCTTAATAATAATTATAAATGTTTTATAAATTTTTTACCCGTGGTTTCCACGGGTTGTAACCTAGTATAATAATAAATGTATATTAATTTCATTAATGCAACTTTTTTTTCAATAATTCAAAATTCTTTTTTATTTTTCTAATTTCAAAATTCCCAGATTAAAGCCCAATTATTATTTTTTTGTTTATTTATTTAAATTATTTGTTTAAATTACAGAGAAATGAACATTTCAATTTCAATAATTCAATATTTTTTTTATTTTTCTGATAAACTCAAACTCTTAAATGTTTAGACTTTCATACTATTTAACTTTTTTTTTTCAGAATAAATCCATGTAATACTCGAGTGTCACAACTAATAATTAAAATTTGAGTTGTTCACTAAAACTACCTTGAAAGGTAGCCGTGTTTTGTTTTTTTGTTTTTGTTTTTTCTTTTCTTTTTTTTTTTAACAAAAAAGGTGGTCATAAATGGTGCACTTGTGGAAAACTACTTCTATCCAAAATTTAATAAAATGACCATTCTGTCCACAAATAGTAAATCGTGCATACGTTTCTATTACTTTTTTTGAAATAAAGCCAAACTACTTACATTTTCATGCTAAGGACATCATTCGCAAGTCAAATAAGGATACTCTCTCTAACAAAAAAAAAATCACGCTATATCTTGGCGAGTTTTTGGCATGAACAAACAAAACATTTCCAAATATGTTCAATAATAAACGGATGATGCCAAAGCCATTACATGTTTTTCACAAAGAAAATAAATATTACAATATATATTTATGTCTCGCCCCGCAACCAAAAATGGAAGTTTGCCTCCTGTCTTGTATTAATACGCACATTAATAACCAAACTTGCAACCTTAATAACTTTCTTTGAAAGAAACAAATCAAAATTTATTTTCTTCCAACCCCAATTAAATCCATATTATATAGGAGCAAACCTGAAGTTGAATATTTATTCAGACCATAACTTCATGAATGCAGCAAAGAACGTTTTGGTGAATGACACGATCGGATTAGTTGCTTGCCTCTCTGATTTCTTTATTCCTGATGCTTCCCTTGATTCATTGCTTAAAGAACCATGTTTAGGGGTACTAGATACCTGTCAAAGTGGCAAATAATATTACATTCATGAGGGCTAAATGCAAGAAATAGCAATGTACTTTCATTTATGGTGTAGTTTATAGCATCCTACTTCCATTTCTTTCTACTATTTACAGCACTATACTTCCAAAAAAACATTCATATTAATTATTAAGACATTAAACTTTTTAATTTCTACCCAATTATACATTGTACTTGCAATTTTTTTTCATATTAAGACTTTGGACTTTCAAAAGTCTACCCAATTATAGCATTGGACTTCCAATTTTTTTCTTATTAGGACATTGAACTTTGAACAAGCTACCCAATTATAGCATTCTACTTTCATTTTTTCTTATAAGGACATTATACTTTGAAAAGTATGTCCAATTATAGCAGTCATAATTGCTTTATATTTTGATGACATTGCTATAACTAGGTAGATTTTTCAAAGTACAATGCTGTAGTAAAGAGGAATAGAAGCAGAATGCTATAATAAAAGAATCCAATTAAAGTACATTGCTATTTCTTGCATTTAAGCCTATGTAAAACTAGGACTACAACTTTATCATTAGTTTAAGATAAACCACTGATTATGGAAATTAAGTGGTATAAAAAGAACTCACTTTGTCTTCAGCAGGCAATGTTTCCTCAGATTTAACATCTTTGATTGCATCATGAACAAATCTTTCATCATTACCACCATCCAATACCTCTTTCTCACTTGTTTTCTCATCAATGTTATACACCATGCTAGAAACAGGTCTCAATGGAAAAGTCTCTACCACTACATCTTCTGAAAAATGACGTATTTGACCTTGATGCACTTCAACTTCTTCTGTTTCATCTTTATGTCCTTTCATAGCCTGTTCCATTAGTAATTCTGTATGCACTGGTTCTTCAACTTCACTATCCAAAGCTCCATTATTATATCCTGGATCTTCAAATTCTTCATTTTTCATTGTTGTATGAGTACTCCCATTAATAATAATATCATCATTATCAAGATTCCGTCTTTGCAGTTCAGAGATCCTTCTTGAACTCAAAACTTTTTCGCGTCTTAATTCATATTCTTTAAGTAGTGTTTGTTTGTCTTTTGGATCAAATGAAATGGAACCCGATGAGTAGTTTTCCAAGAAGCTATCCAGATTCTCCATGTTCTCCTCACTTGGAGGCAATTTAGGTGGGGCCAGGACTCGATTCTCCTGAATTAGCTCACGAAAAACTTCACGCACTGTGTAGTAGGACCCACCAACTTCCTTGCGTGTGAGACGCAGTGATGGGAAACTTCCATTATTTGACCCCTGATATCTGTAAGTTAGCATATTGTAAAAATCATGAAAAATGACAACTACATATCTTAAACAACATTAAATAAAGAAATAATCGGCTACATGATCAATTACTTCTGAAACTTGGAAGCAGATTGTGAAGCAATAGCTCTGATGATATTACTTAAAGACAGGAAGAAAAAAAAAAAAAAAAAATGAGGGAGAATAAAATGAAATGACATTACCTCTTTATAAAAGCCTCCACCATTTCTTTTCTTTCCTCTTTTGAGCGTCTTTTTGATCTTTTCCCTCCTGCAGAGTCATTGGATTTTGCTAGGGCAAAGGTTTGCCCGATGCAACCTCCTTTGATAACTTGCATTCGGGTGAGGGAAGAGTTCAACAACAATGACAGCTACTCACTAAACATGATTATCATAGAAATTATCATCTCATATCATTATATCTAAACAAAACAGAGCAGATTATTAAGTATGACATGTATCCCTCAAAGTCAAACAAAAGAGCAAGAAGTAAGCCGTGGTCTAGGGTGTAGATGTTAATTAAGTCTGAAACAACCCTAGCAAATTCAATTTCTTTTGATAGCACTCCAGTAGAGATATATCTCGACTCTTGCAAGCCCATTTGCAGAAACAGAACCCAAAAAAAATTGGCATGTGTTTATTTGATTGGTAACCTATTGTTTATGTGATGCATATACAAATACTTGTAACAACTAACAACCATCCTTATAGTTTTCAAAAGATCAATAAGTTTGTATCAGGTCTCACAGTTAGGATTTCAAACAATCGAAAATATATCTCTTCACAACTAAAGGCGTCCAATCTCACTCAAACCAACTGAAATTGTAGTTCAATCGTCGAAAATGAGATCTCTTTTAGCCTCGGTCTTCTTTTCTCTTTTGAGCCAGGTTCTTAAGACAGGACAGGAAATGGGCTTTACTGAATGTCTCTTTTCCCGCCTATGTTGTATACAAAATCACGAAGCGACATTCATTTTACATCACTAACATTAAGAATAAACAAGAACGGTCAAACCTAAGCAACTCCAAAAACAAGAAGAATTAAACGCCCTCATACAAGAAACTTGGAAGAGACAAACAGTTCACGTACACTTTTTGCTAATAAACGATGTGGAAGATGCAAGGAAGAGATAACTTACTTCTAATTAAGGGACGTATGAGAATCAATGATCCAAACAACAAAGATAATCACCAGATGTGAAATGGGAAAATGGAAATGCGAATGGACATGTAACAAAACCATAAGGAAGATCAGAATCGTACATATATTATAAGAAGTTACCTGTATGGCGAGGTCGGAGATGAAAGGGTGCAATGCTAAAGTGTGAAAAGTGAAAACCTACAGAGCGTAGTACTAGACAGTGGACTGTCTGAAAACTGGTTTGACTTTCGACTATAAATAGAAAGGGATTCTTGGTTCCAGTATTCCTTTTAAACGATGAAATTGTTAAAAATATTGAAAACGAAATATATTAAATCTTATTAAATAAAAGAATTTTTTAACCGGTAAATACAAATATTATAATCTACTTCTAAACTAACACCTAATTCAACCTATGTCCACCACGGGACTTGAACTCTCGACCTCAAGGAGGGAAAACACCACCTGATACCCCTAAGGCTAATCGGCGTGGGTTCGACGCCACATCGGCAAGTGGTGACTCACGTCGACAAACACCATGCCTCCATCTTGGTATGGTGAGTTCGACACTCAAACTCGGTAACGTGGAGGAAAGAGAAAAAAATATGGTTTAATTTTTTTTTACCATTTTCTGAAAAATACCATATTTTTGAAAAATTATCATTTTTATTTTTAAATTTTAAACACCTTTTCAACTAAAATAAATACCAACAATTATTTTTATTTTCCACACTTTCAAATTTTCTTTATTTTTCTCTCCCAAACATTCAACACTTGTAACCTTTTTTAAAAATTATCTCTAAAAAATGGTTCATCATTAGACCACGAAAGAAGAGGTAGTTTTAGCTCGTGCATGGATCGATGTAGATGATGACCCAAATAGCAACTACTACGTCATTGGATCTTTTTATAAAACAGAGTCACCCAACGATTCAACAACGAGATAAGTCAAAACTATAATCGAAGTAAAGATCAGCTATTCACCAAATGAAAAACACAAGCATAGTGGTAGTACAATTTCATGCTTTGTTTAATAGTGTGAGTCTTGTTTCAACAAATGGTGAAAATGAAGGAATAATGTTAACAAATGCTCTTCAAATTTTTTGTAGAAAAAATAACAAACTTTTTCCGTATATAGAGTTTTGGCAAGTTGTAAAAGAGTAAAAAATGACGACAATATGTCGAATGAAGTGTTATTTTCTTGTTTTCATGTTTCTTATGTTTTAATTTCAAGAGTGTGGTGTTTTATTTAATTTTAAGTTTGTTGTCTTTTTATTTTTAATGAAAATTTTAATTTTATACAAGTTATATTCTCTTATATAATAATCAAAATAAAAAACACATGTAGCACCTCAAACTATCACTTTAATAGCAAGAATTATGAGTTGTGTGACAAAAGTGAGGCTTATGTGATATTAAAAAATGTATGGAATAAGTGACACCATTTCCTCTAGCTTTATTATAATTAATATCGATAGATTTTTATGATATTTTTGTTTGGTTTATATATATATATATATATATATATATATATATATATATATATATATATATATTATAAATAATAAATAATATTAATATCAACGGAGGCGACGACGATATTGACAACGACAACGGCGACTGCAACGACAACACCAACAATAACAACAACGCCAATAATAACAACAAAAAAAAATAAAAATAAAAACTAAAATTCATCAAATACCAATTTTTATTAATGTTGTTGAGCATTTTGACTATATTCTTCAAGATTTGTCCCATAGGTACCACCAAGTTGGTAACTACGCAACTGTTGCATTATGTCTGATATCTACAACTATGCAGCCCTACCTACCTCCGTACCAGAAATATAGAACTCGAAATGAGCTTTCATTCTTTCTCTTCTTGATTGTTGGCAATGGTAACTCAACTGCTATTTTATTTTATTTTCTTTTTTTTAAAATAAAAGAAAGTGTGTATAAGTACCTATGCCAACATCTCAATAATTCACACTTATTTTCACAACAATCTCTCATTCTTACACCAATTTTCGCTCCATTTGGATTCAAGCTATGATAAAGTAAAAAAAAAAAAAATACAAGTTCAAATCGAAGAAAAAATTGCATTAGATGTTCACAAGATCCAATCTTCGATTTCCCAAACCCAATTCTTGCAATTTCCACAATTTTCAATGCCACGTTCATACAATGATTTCCATTTCACTAAAGATTAACCGACCTTTAATACATTCTAACCACACAAATCATACCTACCCTACTGATTATCTATCCATCAAAATGAAATTTTTTTTCTTACCGAGGCGACATAGGACATTGCAAAACATCACCCGAAATACGGTGTCGTCCCTCTAATAGGTAATCATGTCCAATCATCAAAAAGGACGAATACATCGAAATCGAACATGTACAAAACCTTTTTGGATGCCCGATTTCCAGTTAACTTCACCGAAGAGGATGAAATGTTTCACTTTGAAGAACCGTAAATACCACAACGGAAATGAAGAGATTGCTATCGTCATCCCATGTAACGTCCCAAAAATACCAAGTAAAATTTTCATTTTGAAACAACCAAAACCATTCATTCATTTGTTCAAAAGATAATCAGAGTATAAAGTATTCTCAAAGCATCAGAGTGTATCAAATAGATAGTGTGGAATAAATCTCAAGGGGGTGCAATGTGATCAAGCCGAGCCCACCCTTTCGAAGCAGAAGTATCTGAAACATTTTAACCACGAAAACGGAAGCACAAAGCTTAGTGAGTTCCCCCAAAATATCACATACGGCACAGCATAATAATCAACTATGGGTTATCAGCAACCATGGGACCATCAGTAGTCCTAAATATCGTATATAGCACAACAATATAAATAGTTATCGGTCATCAGCAACCCTAGTACTATCAGCAGTCCTATGGGCTCACAGCAACCCTATGGGTTATCAGCAACTCACGAATGCAGTGAACAACTAACAAGCTCACACGGTCAAAATGTGGATGTTACACACCTCCTAAAGAAGCACAACGTAAACTCTTAGTCTATATTCTAAAACTAGCATTTTGACCAAAAGTCGAACCCAGTCAAAATTTAACGGTCAAAATCAATGTCATTCGACCTCCACGTCATGGTCATCCTTTGGCCACGTTGTGGCACCTTCTCGACCAAACAGTCGCGGCCAGTGAAATTGCCACGTCGTGGCAATCATGCAACTGCATAGTGAAAATCTTAATGGATTAAGCTCTCAATACTTAATCCCTAAGCTCATATTTTCCATAAGGCTTCTTGTGACACTAATGGTCCATAAAAATCCTTGCTTTGATAACATGCATGTCCAATGCATATCATTTGCTCAACTAGGTCAAAAGTAGCATAAATTGGAATCAAGATCCATGCACAAGCTCAAAGTAACATAACTCTTCAGATCTAAAACATCTTGTAACATCCCAAGATTTGCCATTTATAGTCCCTGGGGATAGATGGGTGAAGCCATGAGAAGCATAAGGGTTAAATTGTAATTTTGGGATCAGGAGGAGTACGCTGCGTGTACATAAGGGTATGCTGAGCGTACTAGGCGTGCCCTAGTACGCTCGGCGTACACTTATGTACGTTGGGCGTACTCATGACAGAAGGAAACCCTAATATTTAGGGTTTGAGTGTTATATAAACGTCCTTATGAGCTCAAAACCCTCCCTTACCTCATCCTCCATATATTTGAGCCGTTTTCCCCAAACCCTAATCCTTTCCTTGAGTGTGTGAGCTTATAGAGGGTATTTTGAGAAGTTGGAGAAGAAGGTATTGCATCAAGGATTTGAAGAAGGAGGACAAGCTTGTGGATCTGAAGTTTATTTGTGCTCTAGAAGCTCCAGAAGGTAAAAAGCTTCAAACTTTATGCTTGTATGATGTAGATCTTTCCATGGTAACTTTATGGAACCATTTCTTGTCCCAAAAGTCCCAAGTTGGTGCATGATGTGATTTGGACAAGATAAGTTGTCCTTTCAGACCCTTGAAGAGGTCCTAAGTGATAAAAATGAGGTCTCAATGGCTTAAGATGTCCTATGCATGTAGTAGAAAGGTCTTAATGGATTAAGACCATGGATTAAGAGCTTTATGTACGTCTAAAGTGATAAAGTTCGAGACTTTATGGTTCTAAGACACTTTTGGTCGATGGATCTGAAATATGGGCTTAAGTGCTTAAGTCATTAAGCACTTATTAGGGTTTTGGCAAAACCCCACGTACGCCCCGCGTAAATCCTGTACGCCCCGCGTACTGGGTCAACCACCCCGATGGTGGTCAACGTTAGGCAGAGTACGCCCAGCGTACCAGAGGAGTACGCCCTGCGTACGTCCTTTGTATTCGAAAGTCTATAGGGTCCAGCGTTATGTATGGTTAGCATACACGAGTGTTGCAGGATTGGTGGGAGTTTCATGGATGGATGGGTTGTTTGGACGAGTCCGCCGGTTATAAGATATTTAGCCTTCCTCTAGGAGTGAGGACTGAACGCATGCCATGCATATTTGTGTTGTTAGGGCGTTGTGATGATACTTGAGACAAATATGGGTAGGTGTGGAAGGTAGTATGGGCCCGTACTACTGAAAGCACAGGACCCACACGCGTAGCAAGGAAGTCACAATCCCTAGGGTTTAGTTGGGAGTTGGTTCTCTGTTGTTTATGCGGATTATCTGATATCTTCCTGGTGTATTTTCAGTATGGTGGTTACAAGGCGTTTTGTGACCGGATCCGGATCGGGATCAGGGCAGGGTGATCAGGGTGCTCCGACAGAGCCATAGGTTATCGGCCAGGGTGGGCCAGCAGTGACAGATGATCGTGTCAGGGAGATCATCCGCGAGGAGGTGGTCGGGATTGTCCGAGGTCAGATTCTGGAGATGTTTGGGTCTATTAAGACCGCCATGATGGAGTATTTTGACGACAGATATACAACCCTAGCTGAGACGGTTGCCGCAGCAGCTACAGCAGCTGTAACAGCGGCAGGGGGAGGAGCTGGCAGAGCTTTTCAGTACCGGGATTTCGATAACACGAAGCCCCCTACATTTCATGGTACTCAGGATCCGATCAGAGCCATGAGGTGGTTGTCTGACATGGAGGGTTGTTTCTTCACGTGTTCATGTCCTACTAACCAGAAGGTCAGCTGTGCCCTGAACCTGTTGAGGTCCGGGGCAAAGGACTGGTGGAGACTGATGACTGGGTCTTATTCGGATGATCAGAGAGCTGCTGTTACTTGGGAGAA